TGCTAGAAGGAGAATGTGAGATGCACAATTAATAAATGTCATTGTCAAAGATGGATATTTCTTGATCCGTTGCTGTGTATCATATCATGTCTTAAGAAGTTTCATAGCAGTTAGGTTCATTAGTAAAAATTGAATTCAAAGAATGTTTAAGCAAGCCCCAAGTTATAATAAAAAAAACCTAGATTTATGTGAAACAAAGCAAATAATTAGTTAAATATCAATTTAGCTGGACCTACAAAAGTACCAATTACGTATAGGGTGGCTTTGTTTATTATGCTTGCATATCTGGTTTTCTTCTGCTATATCAAATGTCAGATCTGCGTTTTTGTTTTATGATACCATTTGCTTTTTAAAAAACAAAATTATCTTTGGCTTTTTAGTCCGCATCACAACAACGCAAATCATCCAGGAGGAATCGTTCATCAGAAGAAACATATCAGCTTTCTAGATGGACACCAATAATTAAGGATGTCATGGAGGTAATATTTCCACAAGATGCTGCTTAGTTTAAAGGAGAACATTTCAGGCCTCCCCCCTACAGTTACATATAAGAACATTTAATTAATGTCTCTATTTTAATGGCATTCATACCATAGACTCTTTACTCCGACTTGTTTTCTCGAGGAAAAAACGTATATAAGTCTTACATATAAGTGCTGTCTATTCTTGATACATCTATTCATTTCATAGAATCATAGAGTTGGAAGAGACCTCATAGGTCATCTAGTCCAACCCCCTGCCAAGAAGCAGGAATATTGCATTCAAAGCACCCCTGACAGATGGCCATCCAGCCTCTGAATCCTAGAATCCAAGAGCAGAGAGTTCCACTGCTGAACAGTTCTCACAGTCAGGAAATTTTTCCTAATGTTCAGATGGAATCTCCTTTCTTGTAGTTTGAAGCCATTGTTCCACGTCCTAGTCTCCAGGGAAGCAGAAAACAAGCTTGCTCCCTCCTCCCTATGACTTCCTCTCACAAATTTATACATGGCCATCATGTCTCCTCTCAGCCTTCTCTTCTTCAGGCTAAACATGCCCAGGTCCTTAAGCTGCTCCTCATAGGACTTGTTCTCTTGATCATTTTAGTCGCCCTCCTCTGGACACATTCCAGCTTGTCAATATCTCTCTTCAATTGTGGTGCCCAGAATTGGACACAACATTCCAGGTGTGGTCTAACCAAGGCGGAATAGAGGGGTAGCATGACTTCCCTGCATCTAGACACTTTCTAATGAATAGTAATTTATTACAAAGGATCCCAGGATGTCATGCAATACCATTAATTTAGATAATTTAAGACAATAATAATGATGTTGGGAATTAGTGTTAGCCTTTTTTGGGAAAACGAAACAAAAGCTGTCAGAAATTAGTCTTTATTTAGTAAAATAGCAGACAAGGCATGCTTCAACTTCTCAGTGTTGCTTTCCTGAGTTCCCTTGTGGACTCCAAAAAGAGAGGAAGTTGAAGATTATACATTTAAAAGTTTAATGCGGATTTGACAATTCTATATGCTTGGGGGAACCTACATCCTAACTAATGAAAAGCAAAACATGGCAGGAGGTTAGAGGAGGAAGAGAGAGAGAGCAGAAGAGAGGACAGGCTGAGAAAAGGGAAGTTAATAATAATAATAATAATAATAATAATAATAATAATCTTTATTTATACCCCGCCACCATCTCCCCAAGGGGACTCGGGGCAGCTTACATGAGGCCAAGCCCGAAACACATCAATAAAACAAAATACAATAAGCAAAAACAATACAATTAATATAACTCACATATAAACAATAACTAACACGCAGTGATTTAAGAACCTATGGCCGGGCCAAATGTAATAGTTTAAAATTTTAAAAAAAACGCTGAGCATGAAAAGAGGTAGAATGTATCTGGTAGGAGGGTTTTAAAGGAAAAGAAGGGAGAGCAACCCAACGAGTAGTTAAAGTGCTTCTGAGGACATTTTGATGGGAATTATTTCCTTATATAACCAAAGGCTACAAGGAAGGGACCTTGTAAGATACGCAAGATATTTATAACCATGTATTTGAAGGGATAGTAAGACGGATTTAGATGAAGGCAACAAATGGAAGGATTTGACATGCAAGTGGTGTTGCTCTGTGAGCATAGGAATTCCAGCAGAAAAGACTGTCTTCCATGCTGCATTGCTCCTGAGAAGGTCCCTAGGAATAGCTCAGTCAGTATTGCGTATTGAAATCCCAGACTATTACACTGGCTCTTTTAAGCTGCACAATATCTGCAATAGGCCTGGGTTCACATTTTGTGTATGCATCCTTTCCGAATGATGATTGGCTGCAGTCTCTCATTCAGTATTTCATATAAAGAAATCCATAGTTAATATGAAGCAGGTTCTAACTGAGCAGTAATTTCTCAGTTTTCCAGAAATATGGCTTATTCCTGAAAAAACCTAACTTCCATGTCTTTTTTAATGTGTAATCATATTTTGCCCAGGAGGTTTTTGCTACCCTATACAAATGGGCAGCATGGCAGTCAGGAGAGATTGGAGAGCTTTGATCAGATGCCACTTTAGTTGGCTAAAAGGAACTATTTTTCTTTCAGGACACCATAGAAAATAAGCTTGATTCAAAAGAGTGGCCTTATTGTTCCCAGTGTCCTGCGCCCTGGAATGGTTCAGGAGCTGTGAGGTAAGTGATTTAATGGTTATTTTAATGATTTTAATAGTTTCTGGATAAAATACATATAACTACTATTTTTTTATTTATTTATTTGCAACATTTATATGCCACCCTTCTCACCCTGAAGGGGACTCAGAGTGGCTTACAACATATATATATATACCTACAATATATTATATTATTAGCATAGTACAATATCAGTATTAAATATTACTATATTGTACTATACCACTTATAGCTATGAACAGCTGGTAGATATGAACAAACTGCATAGTGCTCTTTTGTGTTCCAATTTGCAGTGCTCGTAACAAACCCAAAAGCAGCCACTTGGATGAGCGAAAGAGTGGATCGAAGCTGATTGTATTTGTCATTGGGGGCATTACATATTCTGAGATGCGCTGTGCATATGAAGTTTCACAAGCCTACAAGTCTTGTGAAGTTATTATTGGTAAGTACCCTCCCCTCTACAAAAAGCTTAGACAGGATATCAGTGTATAAACTTTGATTTGCATCCGAAGAGGTAGCAAATACCAGCTTTCTTTTCTGAAGCTTTAACCATTCACTTACAGTAATATTCCATGTCTATCTTTTGATGTACTTCACAATTTTTAGCCATTTCTTGCTCTTTAAAATCTTTCCTTTCCCCATTATCAATCCACAATTTGTTTTCTTTACATAACACTATGTAACAGAATTTGAAAAATTTTCTGTTCCTGGTTTGAAAGTGTTATTTCCTGTTTAATTGTGTGGTATTTACTTTGAAAGTCAGTGTTATACTCCAGAAACTTCATTTTTGTGGCTGCCACAAACTTTGTTGAAGTGGTTGAGACTTGATGAGATATTCATTGAAAAACTATAGCAAAATATGTTGCAGGATGTCCTACAAAGACTGTTTTTACGATAGAACCAATTAGGAAATGATATGTATAACCGAGGAGCAAAAATCGTGTTACATAGTGTAATCTCAAGGTCGGTCTATAAGTTATACTCAAAAAGTTCAAACTACAGGGTGAGGCAGCATAACTTCCTTTTTTAAAATGCGTGCCATTCAGTCGGTTGAAGACGTAGCAGAGCGCTAGTGGTCTCATTCGAGAGGTGGGAGTATAAAGTTTTGTCCTGACAGTTTAGGACAGTGAGGAGCGTGCTTTTGCCGTTGAGGCCTACTTTTCCATCAGATTTGGAGTGGCTGTCCCGCTCTCCAGATTTGGCCCCTTGTGATTTGTTTCTATGGGGTTTTTTGAAATCCCGTGTTTATGTGAGCCGTCCAAGGACCCTACAAGATTTGAAGACCAACATCCAGGAAGAAATTGCCAACATAACGCCTGCTATGCTGGCAAGAATCATGACAAACGCCAGAAATTAGTTTACTCAGTGTATGGAGAATGGGGAACGTCACCTACCTAATTTGATCTTCAAAACTATGTAAAACAAAACTTTAGGTATGTGCCTACATTATAAAAAAAAAATTCTGATTCATACAATGGGTTTTATTAAGTTTTGGCCCATTGGATCATTAAAGATGGATACAATGCTTTTCTCATCTGAAAAGAGGTCATCTTAGGGTTTTGGAATAAAATTTCACATTTTAAAACTTCTGGGGGCCTCAAAGCTTTCCTGGGGTGACTACATGCAGCCCCCTTTTTTTTTTTGAAAAGAATAATGTACATGTTAAAGAAAATGATTATAAATTGGTTTGTAAATGGTACTTAACACCAGTAAAGATTGCAAATATTAATAGGAGTACCACAAAAAATGTTGGAGAGGTTGCCAGGAGGTGAGCACATATATAAAATGAATTTTGGGGTAAGGTATTTGGAGAATTAGAAGCTATAATGGATATGAAATTAGGAAAAAGTGCAAGCATTGCATTGTTGTCACTATATAACGTTAAGAAATTGGAAAAAAAGCAGAGAAAGATGCAATAGATAACATGTTAACTGCAGCAAGATTACTGATAGAGAAGAATTGGAAAGGTAAAATAAATATACCAATTGAAGAATGGTATAAAGAACTATGGAAAATAGCAATAAATGATAAATTGACATGTAGATTAAGAGTCAGGAAAGGAGTATGGAAGGGAAACGACTTTGATGAAGTTTGGAAAAAATTATTGAGAACGGCTTAAAAGAAATAGATGAGGAAATTACCTCCACAAGAAGAAATGCTATTTTGGAAAGAGAATGTAAATTGAAGTGGCTCGGAAGGGGGGGCACAGAGGTGAAAAAAAAAAGTACACAAGATATATATACACTTATAGTTGATGTAATGAATTGAGGATGGAATATAAGAGTATTGAAGGTATTGATATATTCTAAGAAAACCAATTAAAATATTTTTTTAAAGAAAAGTAATGTGAAATGCGGGAGGATAAGTAATTGTGCACACAATAGTTTCTCCAACAGTCTATTCCTTGAGCATAGAGTAATTTCAGTTATTGTTCAAGATCTAATTACAGGGAACTACGTCTAGCTAATGCTGAGCTTTTAATTAAACCTAGATATGTTTTACCTCTAAACAACCCATCTCTGCATTGTATTGTGAAATATTTGTGAAATAATCACAGTTTCAAAAGGAGCTTGCCACATGAAGCTGCTGTTTGGAGGATAGGTGTGGAATGTTTTTAAGCTGCTAGTTTTATGGGAGTAATTTCAGGTTGTTCCGTTGCTGAGCATGGCCAAACAGGTTTTATCTGTTGATAATTTCCCTGGATAAGCCTCGTCCTCCTTTTATTTATTTAAGTCATCTAAATGTCAGTAAGCACGATAGCTTCCTGCTGAGTGACTGATGTTTGAGCATTTAATGATATGACTTGGGATCTGTATGTTTATTACGGAATCTTGAGGACAAATAAGACAGCATGTTTTTTGTAATATCAGTACTACGGCAGGAGAAAATAGATTAGACCAAAACTAGTAGTAAGTTTTTTAAAAATGTGCTACTTGAAGATATACTTTGCCTTAAAAAAAAACTATTATTAATTCACTTCATTGCATCTTTCCAAAATGCTGTTGGGAGGGAAGGGGAATTCTTTTCACCATTTGTTTTTGTTGTTACATGTTACCATGCTGAAATTGACTTATGGTAATTGTGTAGTCTCGGTCTAGCATTTCCCTGTTTGCCTGTTGGACTGTTCCAGTTTGCCAAGTTTAGAGTAGGAGCTTAGGCTCCCCCTATAGGCCGAGCTCTTTGGTTCAGCCCATTCTGCCTCAGAGCCTGGCGAAAGACTTTTTGGCTCCATTCCTTTTGGTCATAGTTTATAGATAGTTGCCAGAAAGTGTCTGGTCTGGCCTAGCAATTTGAACAGGCCATCCTTATCACATATTTGTCATAGTTCATATATAATACATGTTTCATAGATAGATAGTTTATATTTGCTTTAGAGTTTATAGTATATGTAATAAGAATAGATATAGCCATACATGTGTTAGAGTTTATAGATTATAGAATATGCCATAGTTAGTAGTTATATTTACCTCATAGAAATTATAGTTGTTACCTCAGAGTTTATATTTCACTATTCAAATTGCACTTTTATACCTTGATTATTTAGTAAACAATTGTTGAATTTAATCTTGTTTTTAGAGTCTTATTTTTGGGGGCATTAAAGTAATTAGGGCATACCGATGGTCACTGGGAAAATAGCCAGACACATTTAGTTTTCTCCTTAATCTTCCCAGTGTGCCATCATAGTAATCCTCTAGATTAGACAGCTCCAAGTATTCCTATTATTGACAGTTCTAAATGAATTTTAAAAATTCAGGAGTTGATGAAAGTCAATTGATTGGGTCAATCCATCTGTCATAGAAGAACCATGTTTTTTGTGTGTGGTAAATTTGAAATAGCCATCAGATTGCATTGTATGGGGTATAGCAGCATAACTTCCTTTTTTAAAATGTGCGCCATTCTGTTGGTTAAAGACGTAGCAGAGCGCTAGTGGTCTCATTCGAGAGGCGGGAGTATAAAGTTTTGTCCTGACACAGTTCAGTCGCCATCATGCTTTGGAACAGTGAAGAGCGTGCTTTTGCTGTTGAGGCATACTTTTCGAGCAGATGTTCTGTGATCGCAACCCAGCGCGCCTTTCAGAATCGCTTTAATTTAGCCCCATTGGCCCCTGTCCCGGACCTGAAATCAATTGTGATGTGGGTCACTACATTCAGACAAACCTCGACAAGACGAAGAACTGGAGTCCCTCGGCCCATTAGATCACCTAAGAACATTGAGGCAGTGAGAGCTTCAATGTTGCGATCACCACGGCGTTCTGCGTACAAAAATGCGTCTGCCCTTGGACTTTCCGATAGTTCTGTGAGGAGAATTCTTCATTATGATCTTCATTTCTATCCTTACAAGATGGTGATCGTGCAGGAACTTTCCGAACGTGGCTTCAGTTCTCGGAGGAACGCATATGAGGTCATTCCTGAGGATGCTATTGGGTGTTTTTTTAGTGATGAAGCCCAATTTCATTTGTGTGGATCCGTCAACAAACAAAACATGCGCTACTGGGCTGATAACAATCCTCGAGAATTGCATCAAAGGCCTTTGCATTCACCTAAAATCACAGTGTGGTGTGCAGTTTCCTCAGCTAGAATTATTGGTCCCTGGTTCTTTGAGGAAAATGAAGTCGCAGTGACAGTGAATTCGGACCGATATGTAAACATGTTACAAGATTTTTTTTCCCACGGCTAGATGGGTTGGACTTAGGGGGCATTTGGTTCCAACAAGACGGTGCAACTGCACACACTTCAAGAGCATCGATGGCTGTTTTGAAGGAACACTTCCCAGAGTGCCTCATCTCAATTAGGGGGGATTTGGAGTGGCTGGCTCACTCTCCAGATTCGGCCCCTTGTGATTTTTTTCTATGGAGTTTTTTGAAATCCCGTGTTTATGTGAACTATCTAAGGGCCCTACAAGATTTGAAGACCAACATCCAGGAAGAAATTGCCAACATAACGCCTGCCATGCTGGCAAGAGTCATGACAAATGCCAGAAATCGGTTTACTCAGTGTATGGAGAATGGGGATGTCACCTACCTAATTTGATCTTCAAAACTACGTAAAACAAAACTTTAGGTATGCACCTACATTATAAAAAAAATATCTGATTCATACAATGGGTTTTATTAAGTTTTGAAAAAATTAAGTTATGCTGCTGCACCCTGTACTTGCCAAAGAATGAAAATAGGCAAGGCTTGAAATAACACTTGTCAAGAAAACGTGATGATGAGGTCTATTTAAGTCCGAGTCAGTGTGAAGGCACACAACAATTGACACTATTGCTCACTATAACTATGCAGCATAATCAGTAGTGATCGCTGCAATTGCAATACACTTGTGAGTTGTACTCAATTCAGAAGGGTGAACACTTGCCTTGTTTGCAGCATAATTCTACACACGTTCCCAGCTACTGGACCATGCTAGATCCAAGTTCATTTTCTATTACTGTTAAAGTATTGATCTCACAGAGGCCAGAATTTTTTTAAAAATCAGTGTGCAGTATGTTAAACAAAAAGTGTGTTGTTATTTTTCAGTTCTATTGGCTCATGTTAATTTTCACATTTTCTTCTGTATTACATTTTTAACCAGGTTCCACTCACATCATCACACCTAAACGACTACTGGATGATATAAAAGCACTTACTGTACCAAAATCGAAGGATACTGTGTATTTTAAGAATGAATAGAAGTGATGATCTTCAAAGGTTTTTGGTTGAGCTTAACAAAGATATAAAGAACACATAATATAAATATGGACACAATCAAACCCAAGTTAATGTTAAGTTCCATTGATTTCAGGGGGATAAATGTTAAATATCTTCGTATTCTGCATTGGAATCAATGGAATTTATGCATTTAGCATGATCTGGATTGTGTCCTGTGTACATATTTTATAAATTAGTGTTATATTTGGGAATCTTGTTTTTATAATTTGGAATCTGCTGCTTTTTGTTGGGGGAGGAGATCAAAATGTGTAAAAGTGGAGAAATGTATGTAACAACTTGTGTTTTTATATTAATGTAGTTGGTGATAGGTGGCATTTTGCTGTGAAGTGTTCAATGTAGAGAATGTTCACTAAGGAACGCAGTATGCTAGAACTTGGAAAAAAATGTCTGTATATATGCTAATGACTTTTTGGTAATAATGTGCAAACTTTCTATCTTTGAATCATGCTTATTTCTAAACATACTGTTCTAAAAGACCCATCGACTTAAGTATCGAAGAAAGTTGTAAATAAAAATGTATAGCACAATTTCACAACTGCAATATGTTGAATTACAGTATGTAAGAATTCCCTGAAGAAAAGTTGCAATGAGGTACAAAATATTAGATGTCTTCCAGAGAAAATAGAAGAGAAAAATAATGGTTGTGTGTTTGGAACTGCATGGATCTTTCTGTGGTATTTGGGTAAAGTTAATCATGAAAGTACTAAACATTTTACCATCAATAAAGAACTTTGAAGAATTTGCTGTCTATTTTTTTCAGTCATTTGCTAAATTGATCTCAAAGAGAATGCAGTGCAGGAGGGTTACTCGTAGACTGGTTTTCTTTTCTTAATTTGTAAAACTACCTCCATCAGTTTGTTGTTCATTCGTTCAGTCTTGGTGACCTCATGGACCAGCCCATGCCAGAGCTCCCTGTCAGCCATCACCACCCCCAGCTCCTTCAAGTTCAATCTAGTTACTTCAAGGATGCCATCCATCCATCTTGCCCTTGGTCGGCCCCTCTTCCTTTTTCCTTCCATTTTCCCCAGCATCATTGTCTTCTCAGCATCATTGTCCTTTCTTCTCATGATGTGGCCAAAGTACTTCATCTTTGCCTCTACTATCTTTTCCTCCAATGAGCAGTCGGGCTTTATTTCCTGAAGTATGGACTGGTTGGATCTTCTCGCTGTCCAAGGCACTATCTATCAAGTATCTATCTTCCTTCGCTCAGCCTTCCCTATGGTCCAGCTCTCACATCCATAGGTGACTACGGGGAATACCATTGCTTTTCCTATGCGGATCTTTGTTGCCAGTGTGATGTCTCTACTCTTCACTATTTTATCGAGATTGGTCATTGCTCTCCTCCCAAGAAGTAAGCATCTCCTGATTTCCTGGCTGCAGTCTGGAAATCTTTGCAGAAGATTTCAGAAATACAAAATCTGTCACTGCCTCCATGTTTTCTCCCTCTATTTCCCAGTTGTCAATCATTCTTGTTGCCATAATCTTGGTTTTTTTATCGTTAGCTGCAACCCAGCTTTTGCGCTTTTTTCTTTCACGTTGATTAGAAGGCTCCTCAGCTCCTCCTCGCTTTCGGCCATCAACGTGGTGTCATCTGCATATCTAAGGTTGTTAATATTTCTTCCAGCAATTTTCACCCCAGCCTTGCATCAGTAGACCTCCATCAGTAGACCTTCCCAAATGTAGTCCCCTTCCCCTTTCTGTCACCCTTTGTTGTTGCCGGAAGGACATAGAATGAAGAGAAGGGGAGGGACATGTTTGTGTCAAAGTGTTTACAACTGCAGTCCTATACAGACTTTATGCCTGATTTTTTTTCAACATAGTGGCACAGGTGTGTGAGAACCCTGATTTTCTATGTGGAAAACTTCACATGAATATGAACATCTTTTGATGGTTTGAGTTACACCTGAGGAAAGTGACAATCTAAGGTTTTGAGGCAAAGAAAGACTTGTTCATACCAGGAAGTACAGTGATACCTTGAATTAAGAGCTTAATTCATTCCATGATTGAGCTCTTAACTCAAAATGCAGTTCTCTCAAAGTGAATTTTCCCATTGAAATGCTATTAATCCATTCTGCCTCCGAACACACCTCTCCCAATTTTTGTGTTACACGTTTTTAAATAAGAAAATGTGCATTATAAATAACAAATAATGTATAAATGCATGGGGCAATAAAAAAGAAAGATCAACTGTAAAATGGTAGAAGCACAAAGTTGTGGCAAGGAAGCACAAAAAACAAAGTGAAGAGACAGAAGCATCATTCTCTTCCTACTGTACTCGTTCCAGCTTCACTCCCTCTCTTGCTCTCTCTCCCTCTCTCTCTTCACGAAGCCAAACATATCAGGACTAAAAGTCACTTGAAATCAAGTAACCCAAAGTAGACAAGAGCAAAGTGGACAGCAATCTCCTAAAGCAAATAAGAGCAGGAGACATTCAACATGGAGGCTGTTCCCTTGAAGATCTAAAGCCGTGTAGTTTCGCACTAGTGCTTCCTCGGGTGCTAGCACTTAACTCAAAATGCTGCTCTTATGTCAAAGTAAAATCAGGGCAAAGCAATGGCTCATAAAATGCTCTTAAGTTGTGACACACTTGAGGTTCCGCTGCACTGAGAGTTCCTTGCACAAACACCGCTACTAGGACCACAACATGAATGAAATATTTTTATCCCACAACAATTATACCTTTGCACATGAATGGAAATTACATTTGTACATATGATAAAAGCTTTGCAAATATTCTACACATGAAAAATACACACTGAACATTTTTTTATTCTAATAAAATACAGCATGACATTTTGAACAAAAAGAAAAGAGTCTGCTCACTACACAACTATTGCCTGCCCTATGTAGTTTACAGTAGAGATATATTCCAGGTACCAAAATCAATTTTGAGTACAGTAAGAAACTTTGCAGAAAGACGCTCATCAACTTAACATCTGCATAATTTATGAATTGGTATAATGCTTTTCTTTGAGACAAGCTTTTTTATGAACATTGGGAAAGGATTAGAAAATGGTCCATTTTAATCCTTTACTAATGTAAATGTTCAGACATTGTTTTGATAGTTTTCATAACATTCATTCATATACAGTGCTGACTCCCTGTGACGTTTGACAATGTCTGAATGTTGGCCTTGGCTAAATCTTCTGAAATAACTTGCATCATGTGTTCTGAAGTTCTCTTCAAGCTGTTTGCAGTCTCTATAACGCCATCCAAAGTGGAACTGAGCACCTGTTGGGACAAAAATGTTATTGAAAATTGTTAAGTGACAACACAGTCCATGCAGGTTCAAGGCTGTTCTCTTACCGCAGCATTTGTGTGCCTGCTTCTCTCCGGACTTGTTAACCTCCTTCCATACAGATCCCTACGACCCAGATACTGTGGCGAAAGGATAATGGTGTCCTGCATCTTTGAATAGCGGGTTTCTGGAAGATGTCGATTGTGCCTAGAAAATAAAAGATCAATGAAAATAAAAGATCAAGCAGTTCATGAAGGTCGAAACAAAACACATCCCCGAAAATACATTCCAAGTATAGGAGTGTGACCAGAGGGAAGGTTGGAATTTACTGGATGGGCTATTGAGTTTTTTGCGCTTGTGTACATGCATATAGCCAAAACGCTTAATCCCAAATTTGTTCAGATTTGTTTTTACTTTGAAAGTTATCTATTTTTATATTGCTGCAAAGGGGATAACAAACCTACATATGAAAGTTCAACTTACAGCTACATTTATAAGTGGGCTGGTGTGTTTCAAATTGATGCTGTACTTTACCTTTCCCACAGTCTGTCTATAAACTGTTCTGGTTGTTTATCTGCATAAATTCTTTGAAAGCCGGTATCTGCCTTTTGTGAAGAAGCTGAAATTTTGAAAAACGGTAATTAATAAGTAAGTTAATAAACAGGTATATCCATGATCTCAGCTCCAGACATCTTTTGTAAGCAGTGAAGATCTGAACAATAAGGGCAATTACTGTCATTTAATTAATTAGAAAAGGTATTATTCTTTGAAGTAAATATATTATTTTTATAGCAGATTGAAGTTTACAAACAAGAGCGGTTGTGTAGTGAAAACCTTTTGAATCCGCCACTCTAAAGTCTTTAAATTGTAGACTTTATTATCATCATTTTCCCTAAAAGGTTAGAACAATTCAGGCTGCTTTACTGCCGCAAAAAATATTTTACACAATGTCGATTAACATACAAACCCTGTAGGCTATTCCATAGCATTTTGGCGTCTCAAAATAAAATTTTAAAATGCTTTAAAAGGAAAATCATGGCTACAAACAACAGCATAAACAAAAGCAGCAAAACCAGAAATTGTACAGCGTACGGCAGAATACAAAGAAAATCAAAAGCAGATTATATGATTGTTTAGACCAGGGGTCCTCAAACTTTTTAAACAGAGGGCCAGGTCACAGTCCCTCAAACTGTTGGCAGGCTGGATTATAATTTGAAAAAAAAAATGAATTCCTATGCACACAGCACATATCTCATTTGTCGTGCAAAAAACACTTAAAAACAATACAATAATTAAAATGAAGAACAATTTCAACAAATATAAAATTATTAGTATTTCAATGGGAATTGTGGGCCTATTTTTGCCTAATGAGATAGGATTGTTGTTGTGTGCTTTTAAGTCATTTTAAACTTAGATTGACCGTGAGCGAGGGCCAGGTAAATGACCTTGGAGGGCCACATCCAGTCCCCGGGCCATAGTTTGAGGACCCCTGGTTTAAACCATCCTGATAAAGAGGTAGGTGTTCAACTGGTACCTAAAATATCATAAACATGGTATCAGGTGAGTTGTTTTGAGATATTCTACTCTGAGAACTATTTAAAGGTGTTTGTAGGGACATTGGGGTGGCTCCTTCAGTCATCTGCTCCCAAAGAATTAACATTTTAAAGGCTTACATTATTATTCCGAAGTAGCCGAAAAGAGTTTGGAATCTAGTGAAACTGACAAAATATACGTACAACATAGTTAAACAACTCCATTATAAATCTGGACTCTATAGCAAACAAGGAACTAGAAAAATATAAGTTAAATTCTTCCAAAGACTCTCTTTTCTCTGCTCTCTGCATTTGAAAGGAATTGGGTCTTATCATTTCATCTTCTGGTTAGCCTTGAACTGAGTATATTTTGATGTTTTTCTTTGAAGGATGTATAGATACAATCTTATCTAGAGGCTACAATATGACATTTTAAGCACTATGTTTCATTTAATCAGAAATCTGGAGGATGTGCCAATTTCAGATTTATTGCATCCTTTAATATAATTGTGTCTTTGTTCATATAAAAAAATGAATTATACTGTGGAGTAAGTCTACTGAAACATAAGCAAGAAAACTGGTAAGTACAACTCAGCCTGTTTCTATACATTCTAATTTAAGTATTTTGAACATATTTGTGAAAACTACCAGATCTTCCAACGGAAAACTCTGCATTGCAGTCTTGAATGCCTGGGAAAGTGTTACTGTTAAGCAAAAGTCAAACTTGATGTGTGGTTTAATGTTGAAGGACAAACTGCTATTCAAAAATAAACCTTTGAACTTGATGACGATATATACATATGAGAACTTTGTTTCTTCTAGTTTTGATAAAAAATTACCAGTATTTAACATTATTAATTCCAGATGGGAAGAACTGGAATAGAAACCTGACTATGGTAGAAACTGAAATTAAGACCCCATCTACACTGCCATATAATACACTTTCATAATGCAGTTTGACTGCATTATATGGCAATGTAGATGGGGCTTCACATATTACACTATGTAACAAAAATTGAAAAGTTTCCTGTTCTAAATTCTAATGCAAATTCTAATGCAAGAGAAACTGGAACTGATAGATTTCCCTCCCGTTTAAAGAAGAAACACCACACTAATCTTTAACAGAGGAACAACCGGCTAGAATAGATATGAACACAATTGTATCTGTAAATCTGCATCTGTTTACAGCACACAGCCCCATTTAACAAAGGCCTGTCATGCTGCGACTTAACTTGCTCCACTAAGATCAATGCAGGATTTAAGCACAAATAATTTTTGTTCAGCTGGATGACTTGGATTCAATCCAGATCTAGTCACATGTAAATGAACTCATGTAAAAGGCCTTCTTTTGTTTGGACATGAATAGATGTTTACTTGCCTAACTGAAAAATGCATCCCTTCTAGTACAATGCATTGTATACAGGCTGAATCTCCAGGCTGGTCTGCTTTCAATTGTATCATTTTTCTTAATCCAGCAAGGAATATATGCACTCAAAGGTGTTTATACATATGAATGTCCTCAAGAAGACAGATTATATTTTAATATTATCTTCAAAATTCTCCACATTATATATCATACAAAATATTCTACCTTGGTTTGGTTTGTTTGAATCCACTGTAATTGAGCCATGGTTTTGTTCCAGACATGCATCAGTACTTGAACTGAGACGGTCACAGAATGAGGTCTCTTCTGAATCACTATCTAAACTCCGCAAAAAAAGTTACACAAACATATTAAGAAATTTTATCCTAACCTTCATATAGGACTAATGAAGATATCTCAATTTAAATATTGCATGGCCCAATTCAAATTTGTGATGACTTCTTGAGATATCTATTTTAAGACATTGGAACAGCCAAAATACCAGCAGAAGTATATTGATCGAGCCACAAAAAACTTTTAGTCACCACATAGTAATGTCATGTATATTGTTGTTATACTTCCAAGTGGGAAACAATGCAAGTTTTCTGCTGAGGTTTAAAGCACAGTAGTTGTCTCTTGGGAAGACAAGCGGACAAATGTCAGCATGCTGGAAGAAGCAAAGACCACCAGCATTGAAGCGATGGTCCTCCGCCATCAACTCCACTAGACCGGCCATGTTGTCCGGATCCCCTTCCACCGTCTCCCAGAGTAGTTGCTCTACTCCGAACTCAAGAACGGAAAACAGAATGTTGGAGACCACATTGTCCAGATGCCCGACCACCGTCTCCCAAAGCAGCTGCTCTACTCCGAACTCAAGAACGGAAAACGAAATGTTGGAGGACAGGAAAAGAGATTGAAAGATGGGCTCAAAGCCAACCTTAAAAACTCTGGCATAGACACTGAGAACTGGGAAGCCCTGGCCCTTGAGCGCTCCAGCTGGAGGTCAGCTGTGACCAGCAGTGCTGTAGAATTTGAAGAGGCACGAATGGAAGGCGAAAGAGAGAAACGTGCCAAGAGGAAGGCGCGTCAAGCCAACCCAACCGGGACACCTTCCACATGGAAACGGATGCCCCCACTGTGGGAGAAGATGCAGATCAATAGGGCTCAACAGTCACCTACGGACCCACCACCAGAACACCGACCTTGGAGGACCATCGTCCTCAGAATACGAGGGATCGTCTAAGTAAGTAAGTGATTTTTTAAAATAGATTCTACACAGAAATGGCTAATTTTGAATGAGGTTCTGAAATTTATCAAATTGTTGCCCTAATGCACTTTACAAAATGCACAATGTATTTGTTTAATAAAGATATAAGTGATCTTCGAAACAACACCTAACAGGTTTTCACTGAGTAAGGCTCAAAGGTTGTGTTCGATTCTTATATAAAAATTATTGTAAGGGCTCAAGTCTGTTTGGACATAGATATTCAGCAGTCAGATTATTACAAAATGTTTTGATTGCATATATTTGAAGTGTCAACTCTTCCACAAAAGGCATGGTATTTCCTAGGGTTGAACCCTGGAATAAATTAAGCCCTGACTACATGTCACTGTCATATCATTACATATCATTACAAAAGGTACTTGCATATAACTGCTTAAATTATAAAACAATGTAAGTTTATAACTTCAATATGAGTGAAACTAGGTACCTGATGAATTGAAATCTGCTGCTTTTCCTTCTAAGAAGATAGAGAACTGTTCACAATCTGATTTTCCTCTGTCTGCTTTCCTGTAGTCCACTTTTTTATTTCTACATTGAAAATAGAAGTCTATAGCTAGCATTAAAAATGGACGGGCCGGCCCTGAATCTAACACATGCCTCCTCAGCCATAAATCATAATGGATTCAAATGGGCCTTGCTCTAAGGAAAGAAGCTACACAATTGCATCTTAAGTCTATAAGACAGAGGTGTCATACTCATTTTCATGGAGGACCACACCAGCCTTCTGGTTGCTTTCAAAGGACTGTTAAATCCAAGAATGGAGAATCCATGGACATAGAGGGCCCCATATATATACATACATACATACATACATACATACACACACACACATACATACACATACATATATACATACACACACACACATAATGATCAGCACTCTTTAGTTTTTGCCTAACTTGGATCCCCAGATAATATGGAATGACAACTTCCATCGCTTTTGATGACCCACCATGTGGACTGAGAATAATGGGAATTGCAACCCATTGCACTTATGGTTCTGAGGTTGGGGAAATATTAAAGGACATTTTAAAGCCAGGCATCCTATCCACAAGCCTTCCATCTAAATCCAAACCCCACTATCCTGACTAAACAGAACAACTGGCAGCCTTCCAGATGTTACTATATCACAACTCACATTAGCTCTGGTCATGATGTCTAATGAATACAGGAGCATATAGAGGGCTACACAACATGGATTTGGGCCATAGGACTTGAGTTTGATACATGTGCTATACGTTATGCTGCAAGGATTGCTTTGTTTTTTTCAGTTTGGTATAGTTTAGGTATAGTGCTATACATACTAACCTATTGGAAGAACAGGAACATGCTGGTCTATTTGATAACTGTATTTTCAGTCTAGGATGTATAATAATATTGTGTTCCTTTGACGAATTTCCCAACCCTTCAAGAAACTGATTTGAAGGATAAGTGGGATTTGCTATAAGAAATGATACATGGAAACAGTGATTAGTGGTTTATTTCTGTTAGAATTCCTTCAATTATTGATTCAAGCTCCTGCAAGTCATTATTTTATCTAGGCCTACCTTGTTCTTTTGATCTACTGAGACCAACTGGAGCAGATTCAGGTTGGTTTGTACTGCGGGGATTGGCTGGAGGTGGAGATTTCATTTCCCAGTAATTTAAATTTCTGTTGAAAGAAACTTAATATTTGGTGCATGCCAGAAGTGACCAGCATTTTGCAAACGTAATGTAACAACAACAACAACAACAACAACAACAACAACAACACTTTATTTCTTACCCATCTCTCTGTGCAGCTTGAGGGAGGTCACAGCACGGTCCAAACACACAAAGATACATATTATAACTTATTTCTATAAAATACATACAAAATACACACGACAGAGATTAAAGCACAGGAATAGAGTTTAAAATTCATAATAATAATAATAATAATAATAATAATAATAATAATAATAATAATATTCCTCTAGTTAATCATAATAATATTCCTCTATGACTGTTGAAATATTTCTCTAATATCTTATGGACAAAAATTCTCCCCAAAAATTTGATTTTTGAAAACTTAACAAGTTAAAGGATAATTTTAAATTATATGTACTTCCAATAAACTATTAATTATTCACAGTTGGCAAATGTATAAAGGAAAGTAAAACTACCAAAACATTAAAGGACATTTTAAAGTCAGGCATCCTATCCACAAGCCTTGTGTCTAAATCTAAGCACCACTATCCTGACTAAACAGAACAACTGGCAGCCTTCCAGATGTTACTATATCACAACTCCCATTTATTATTATGGTAGAACTCTATAAACCATAATAATAAACCACTATTGTATCCTCTATTCTCTTCTAATATAAAAATAACAGACCTCAGGCAGTCTCCAAGTTATAGACATGTGACTGGAGACTGCTGTATTAGCTTTTTCTGCATGGCAAGTACACGGCTGCTGTTTGGTAGTGTTTCTTTTTCATCAATCTGTCAGTTAGTTTGACTTGTCCAATCTAAACCGCATAGATGCTTAAAATCCTGTCTAGGTCTGTTACATTGTCAGTATTAGGACATAATGATTTCCCCTATAAAATAAGCTTGTGGCTTTTCCAAGCTTGCAAAGTCTCATGATAAATTTGAAGCTTAAAATCCAGTTTGTCCTTGAACTGTGACTTATTTTTACTGCTTCTCTTAGCATAACATTTTTGCACTTCTGCTTTAAGAAGAAGGAACAAAAAAGGATGTCTTTGGTGAATTTCAAATGGTGATAGTTCCAAAATAAGACTCAGTGTTTTATTTTTCCCCCAGGGAAGAACTACAAAGTTTCATGCAGAAGGACTTTGATGTACTGCTGGGCATGATTTAGTTTATTGCCATGGATAGCATACCTAGCAGTGTGGGAACTGAAGTGTGAATGGAGTGGGCTTGATATGATCTAGTTGAAAATATGGCATCAAGATTTGGGCTCCTTCTACACTGACATATTATCGAGATTATCAAGGCAGATAGTCCACATTATCTGCTTTGAATTGTATTATCTGAATCTACACTGCCATATAATCCAGTTTCCCATTGTGGTCAACTGTGAATCGCACATATGGTAATTCCTGCGACTGCGCAGAACAGCTTTTGGAACCTTCTAGAGAGTTATTAAACATTTTTGGTGGTAGCCCCGCTCACTCTCCCCGTGAGTATAAATAGCTAGTGGGAGGGGTTACAGCCTCCAGTTCTCTTCATCCGCCGCCGAAGCAGCAGCGAGAGAACCTTCACTCAGACTAGCTTCCCTTGATTGTTTTTAGGCTTGACTCGGACTACCTGACTTGACTTCTTCTTTGTCCCGGACTGTATTTGACTTGCCTAACTATTTGTCCTTTCTATCTTGGCTTTGATCTTTCCCTTTTTGACACGGACTGTTTTGATCTGCCCTTACTGTGCCCTATCTGTCTTTCATTATGTTGGCAATGATGTCTTTCAAGCGTTGTGCCAACTGTCCTTCAATTATCCTGACTATGATGGACATTCTTTATGCCTTCTTTGTCTTGCAGAGGGGCCTCTGTCCCAAGCTTGTGCAGTCTGTCGGGCGTTTTTGCTGCAGACAAGGAAGAATCAAGAGTCTAGATCAGGGGTCCTCAAACTAAGGCCCTCCGAGGTCATTTACCCAGCCTTCCCTCAGGGTCAACCTAAGCCTGAAATGACTTGAAAGTGCACAACAATAACAACAATCCTATCTCATCAGCCAACACTTCCCATTGAAATGCTAATAAGTTTATATTTGTTAAAACTGTTCTCCATATTAATTATTGTATTGTTTTAAGTGGGGGTTTTTTGCACTACAAATAAGATATGTGCAGTTTGCATAGGAACTCATTCATATGTTTTTTCCAAATTATAATCCGGCCCTCCAACAGTTTGAGGGACTGTGACCTGGCCCTCTGTTGAAAATGTTTGGGGTCCCCTGCTTTACAGCATTAGTGGTACAGTATGGGCACATCTGCTTCTTTCTGGCACAAAGTTTTACATTAAATCTGCATTTGGAGATCACCATAAATTGCTGAGATGTCTGAGAGTAAGCAGAGGGTCACATCTAAACTGTAGAATCAATGCAGCATTGCACCACTTTAACTACCCTGGCTATGGAATTGTGGGAGTTGCAGTTCCACAGGGCTTGTAACCTTCTCTGCCAAAGAATGCTGTTGCCTAACCAAGCTATAAATTCCAGGGTTCCACAACACTGAGCCATGACAGCAAAAGTGGCGTCAAATTGTATTTATACTACAATATAGATGAATCTCCAGTCCAAACTATGTCAGCATAACTGCTTGCATTTGAGACACTCTGTAGAATTATAGGCACTCCTTTGATGTGGGTCTGGGTTTTAAAATTTACCACGATATCTCTAGCTAAAGCATGGCCTATTTGATTGTTTAACTCAATGTCAGATAACATTAGAGGGTGAATTTTGCAGGCTGCATAAAGCCTCGAAAAAAGAAAACCAAGAAATCAAAACAGGAAGTGGATGAATGCCAACTTATAGTTTCATTTGGGAGATATGGATGTTAAGGATTCCTGTATCCTGTTTTCTTTCAGAACTGATACTGGAGGTTTCCAGGAACAGAAAATTTATTTTATTTTTGACTGAATACTTTTTTATGATGAGAAATCAAAGAGAGAGTTGGTGAAAGGCTACAGAAATGCCCTTGGGGGCTACACTTTGCCTATAGCCAGTGAATAACACTATGTAACAAAATTTGAAGAATGTTCTGTTCCTAGATTGGAAGTGTAATTTCCTGTTTAATTTTTATTTATTTATATATTTACTGTATTTGTATACCATCCCTCTCAGCCTTCTGGCGACTCGAGGTGGTTTAATTGTGCAGTACTAACTTTGAAAGTAGTTGTTGCCCTCCAGAAACTTTGTTTTTGTGGCTGCCACAAACTATGTTGAATTGGTTGAGACTGAATGAGCTATTCATTGAAAAACTAGAGTAAAATGTGCTGCAGGATGTCCCATAAAAACAAAGTTGTTGCAGATGAATACACATCTTCCATGTTTTTTTAAACGATAGAACCAATTAGGGAACATATATAACCCAGGAACAAAAATCATGTTACATAGTATAATGCATTATCTATAAAAATAAAAATGTAATGTTCATTTGTGGGATTAACAGAACTCAAAAACCAGTGGGCCAATTGGCACCAAATTTGGACAGCATACATCTAATAACCCAATGTATGTCCTTCACTCAAAATTTTTTGATTTTGTCATTTGGGAGTTGTAGTTGCTGGGATTTATAGTTCACCTACAATCAAAGAGCATTCTGAACTCCACCAATGATGGAATTGAACCAAACGTGGCACACAGGACTCCCATAACGAACAGAAAACACTAGAAGGGTTTGGTGGGCATTGACCTTGAGTTTGGGAGTTGTAGTTCACCTACATCCAGAGAGCACTGTGGACTCAAACAACGATGGATCTGAACCAAATTTGGAACAAATATTCCATATGCCCAAATATGAACACAGATGGAGTTTCGCGGAAATAGACCTTGACATTTGGGATTTGTAGTTACTGGGATTTATAGTTCACCTACAATCAAATAGCATTCTGAATCCCACAAACGACAGAATTGGGGCAAATTTCCCACACAGAATCCCCATGACCAACAGAAAATACTTAAGGTCGTCCACTCCAACTCTCTTCACCAGGGCAAGAAAATGTAATCAGAGCCCTCCTGACAAAGAGCCATCCAGACATAGATATAGATAGATGTGATTCACACACACAGATATAGTATCACAGATTTGAAAGGGACCCCTAAAGAAGGACTATGATATGTTGCAAATTCCAGAGCAGGCAAACCAGACAATCTCCACATCAACACTGACAAAGAAACAACAAAAATACTGTTTATCCACAAGCATAAAGACATTACATATATTAGAAGCCAGAACTTTCCCATTACTTTATTTTCCAGATCACCAGACTGGGCCACAGCAACACGTGGCAGGGGACAGCTAGCACATTTTAAAAAATTAAATGAATGTCATTTAGTTTAACACCTACTGTGGCTGGAAGAGATGACATCCACCATCTTGATTAGGTTGCTGATATCTCTTCTCCTCCATGTGATTACTTCTGTCCTCTCCATATTTCTCATGTTTGATATTTACTTCCATAGCAGTCTTTTCTGGAGAGTGACTACTGCTGGAAACCACAGGACTCTGTATGCATGAATCATACACGGAATTCAAAATCACATTAAATGAACTATGGAAGAAATGCTCAATTCAAAGCAAACAAATGATATTGGAGGGTCTTCACTGCACAGTGACAAATTTGAAAGTTATAACTGCTATTTTCGTTTGCACAAGCAATGTGACAAGAAGCCCTTCAGGAAGAATAGCAACTATTATAACCCTTTTTTCTATTTTTTTTTAAAAAAATACTAAAGCATTAGAGGAGAAAATGTTTTACAGAACACCAAAACATGCAAATGGCTTGATGTTAGTGGACTTCGGTTGGAATACTTTCACAATGATTTTTGAATGATGTCTGGAAAATTCGCTATCTCAGTTAAAAGGTTGTTTAAAAGAGTCAAAAAGTCACGCTTCATTACTTTCTAGAGATTAATGGCTTACCTCAGAACGGTTTGAATAAGAATAAGATACAGATTTGGGAGATGTGAATGAAGGTGATGTTACAAATGCTGAGGAATGGGGATTGCATGTTTTATCAATATTATCTTCGATACCTTCAAGCAGCATCCCAAGCTTAAATATTTCTCCTTCTACTTTTCTAAAGATAAAAAATAAAATCAGATATATAATCCCTTCATTATAGTATTATTGATACAGTAGAACAATATACTGCAACGCTCTCTGTGTGGGGTTGCTTTCGAAGATTGTTCAGAAGCTGCAATCAGTCCAACGCTCCTCAGCCAGGCTACTAACAGGAGCGAGGTACAGGAAGCGCACAACTCCCTTGTTGTGCCAGCTCCACTGGCTGCCAATTAGTTTCCGAGCACAATTCAAAGTGCTGGTCTTAACCTACAAAACCCTATACGGTTCCAGCCCAGTTTACCTGTCCGAACCTATTCTCCCCTATGAACCATCAAGAGTGTTAAGATCGTCTGGAGAGGCCCTGCTCTTGGTCCCGCCACTCTCGCAGTCACGTCTGGCGGGAATGAGAGACAGGGCTTTTTCTGTGGTGGCCACCCGGCTATGGAATTCCCTCCTGAATGAAATTACATCTGCCCCCTCCCTCCTGACCTTTAGGAAATTAGTGATATATATGTTGTTTTAGATTTTTATTGTTAGAATTGAATTCTTGCTGTCAGCCGGTCTGAATCCCTATATCAGGGGCCCTCAAACTTTTTAAACAGAGGGCCAGATCACAGTCCCTCAAACTGCTGGAGGGCTGGATTATAATTGGAAAAAACATGAATGAATTCCTATACACTGCACATATCTTATTTGTAGTTCAAAAACACTTAAAAACAATACAGTAATTAAAAATGAAGAACAATTTTAACAAATATAAGCTTATTAGTATTTCAATGGGAAGTGTGGGTCTGCTTTTGGCAGATGAGATAGGATTGTTGTTGTTGTTGTTGTTGTTGTGTGTTTCAGACTTAGGTTGACCCTGAGCAAGGGCCAGGTAAATGACCTTGGAGGGCCATATCCGGCCCCCGGGCCTTAGTTTGAGGACCCCTGCCCTATATGGAGGTAGAGAAGATCGGGATATAAAAGTTTTAAATACATAAATTTTAAAAAAGTGTATTTGAAAAGGTATCTATTGCTACAACAGCAAATTAGTCAAAAAAGGCAGATGAATCTTTCCTGAATGAACTTAGGCTGGATCTCCACTGCCCTATATCCCAGAATCTGATCCCAGATTATCTGAGTTGAACAAGAATATATGAGTCTACACTGCCAAATAATCTGGGATAAGCAGATAATCCAGGATCAGATCCTGGAATATAGGGCAGTTTAGATCCCGCCTTATTCTCCCTTTGCAAATGCTCATTAGGCTGCTTACCATCAGGACTGAGGCTACTTCTCATATCAGCCTAGGGCAGTGGTTCCCAACCTTTTTTGAACAGGGACCACTCTGACCAGGGACCACCCTCCAACATAGTAACAAAAGGGTTACAAATCAGTTTTTGTCAACTTTAGATTTGGTTTGGTTATTTGGTGTGCTGATTCAGAAAACTGAATTGAATAATCCACACCAGCTCTCGTTTCTTATACAGAACATATGTCATACAGTAGTCACCATCTGTGCTCACCCACAGAAAGCCATATTTAATAAACCTCAGCACAATAACAATAACAATAACAATAATAACAACAATAATAATAATCTTTATTTATATACTGCTCCATCTCCCCGAGGGGACTCAGAGCGGTTCCCAGGTAACATCACAAAACACACAAAGTAAAAAAAAAAACATAACCATAAGATTAACAAAACAAAAAATAAGCATAAAAATTGTCYCCATAACACACATATATTAAAAATAATCCTGCCTGTTCAAGGCAATTTAAAAATTTAAAAGGCCAGGCCAAGATTTGTGCAAGCCCAAAAATTCTATGGGGGCCGGGAATTAAGTGCAATGCTATGGCAGGTAACAATAATATTAGGTACGGGGTCTGTGGCTGTTCATTCAGGGCCGATTKGAGGAAAGAATCTGGGTAATTGGTAGGAAGAATAAGGCTGTATTCGACAATGTGTGAGGCTGAGTTAGAACTGGTCATTTTCAAAGGCTTGTTGAAACCACCAGGTCTTCAAGCTCTTACGAAAGGAGGGGAGGGATAGGGCCTGTCTTATTTCCCTTGGAAGGGCGTTCCAGAAGTGGGGGGCCACCACTGYGAAGGTCCTCTCTCTCGTCCCCACCAACCACGCTTGAGACGGTAGTGAGACCGAGAGGAGGGCCTCCCCGGAAGATCTTAGAGCTCATGRCGATTCATAGAAGGAGATGCAATCGCGGAGATAGGCASGGCCCGAACAGTTTAGGGCTTTATAGGTCATGACCTGCACCTTGAATTTGGCTAGGCAACTTATCAGTAGCCAATGAAGCTGTTTTTTTATAAGAGGGTTTCGCGAGATCAGTTGCTCTCATTGCAACGGTGTAGTAACAGTGAGTCCGCAGACCATATTTTAGTTCTTGCAGACCACCGGTGGTCCACGGACCACAGGTTGGAAACCACTGGCCTATGAGATGGATGTAAGACTGAACTAGTGAATGACCAAAGGCAAATACGTATTTCTTGTTGGACATCTCAATCATAGCATCCAATTTTATAAATTCACATAAAGATAGGTATATATCCCCTGCATTTCCCCCTGCAAATATTTCTGTCTCCCCAAATTCCTCCTTCCACATCTGCTTCTTCCCAATGTTCTGGCCACCTGAGATGTGAAGAAATTCATGAGTTAGAAATGTGCAGACCAACTGTACCCTATGTTTTGCTAATGTAGGCTTCCATTTATCTGAGAGTAAGCGCCATTGAATTCAATGGAGTTGAAACTTAATTGTTTCAGAATACTGTAAACACACAATTATTAACAGCTTCATTAAAAAAAACTTCACCTGTCAGGATCAAATTCTACAATGCTGGTTGAGGAATACTTGTAGCTTTGGAGTCGTAGAGCACAATGCTCCTCTTTCGTGGTTAAGTAATTCTGTTCCAGTTGGTCCAGTTGCCCTTTTAAAAGCTTTAAAAGCTTCACAAATAAAGATAACAGAAAACATGACTTTGCTGTTGTTTGGCTTTTACAACATATGTTATGATAATATTGCTACAGTTTATTCAATGTTGTCCTCAGCAATATGTTTGACAGAACTTAGACAAGACTAATAGCTACATTAGATGACACTAACCTTTGAAAACGGAGCTCCATTTTAGATGGTGCCAAAGCAAAGAAAGTGCTGCCTTCAACAGATGAAACCTATTCCTCAAAGTCAATCTTATTATTTTCATTTCAACAGATCTCCTTACGTTTAACTGAATGCCTATTTAATGAAAGCCTTGAATTTGAACACTATTCCTTTACCCAGGCTCTATATTATCCTCCTCTTCTATATAAATAAAAATGTAATGTTCATTTGTGGGATTAACATAACTCAAAAAACACTGGACGAATTGATACCAGATTTGGACACAATACACCTATCAGGCCAATGAATGACCATCACTCATAAAAACACTGAAAAACACAGTGGAAGGGACTTAAAAAGCCAAAAAGCTAAAAGATGCTACAGCCCATGCGCAAAAATGACTCCCCAGCCAAAAAAACCACACACATACACACAATAGCATATCCACACTCTCTTCCGGACTACAGCTCCCAGCATCCCCTAAACGAGGCCCTTTAAGAGAAGAGGATTATCCAAATGCACTGCTTCTAAGCTGCAAGCTTTCTTCTCCTTGGATCTCTTTAACAGCATCCAAATCCCTGTATATTTCCAATTTCCTATTCCTGGACTGCAACTCCCAACAATCATCCAGAGAGATAGATTAGATAGAGATAGATAGGTAGGTAGGAGGACTGCTGGGAGTTGCGGTCCAATAATAGGTAGAGAAGGAAGAAAGGGGAGAAAGAGGGAGGGAATGAAAGGGAGGGGGGAGGAAGAGAAGAGAGGGAAAGAAGGAGAGAAGAAAAAAAGGGAAGGAAGGAACAAAAGAAAAAAAGGAGAGAAAGAGGGAGGGAAGGTTGGTCACAGCAACGCGTGGTGGGTACAGCTAGTTGTTGTTGTTGTTGTTATTATTATTATTTAATTCCTCTATAAAATAAGGGGGGAGGGAAGAGAAGGAAAGAAAAAAAGGGGAAGGAAGGAAGGAAAGAAAGGAGAGAAAAATGGAGGGAAGGTTGGCCACAGCAACTCGTAGAATCATAGATTTGGACTAGATCTCGTGGGCCATCCAGTCCAACCCCCTGCCAAGAAGCAGGACAATCGCGTTCAAAGCACCTCCAACAGATGGCCATCCAGCCTTTGTTTAAAAGGCTCCAAAGAAGGAGCCTCCACCATAGATTCTAGACACTATACTCCTATTGATGCAGGCCGCATTACATTGTTGGCTCATGATTAACTTGCTGTCCACGAGGACTTCAAGATCTTTTTCACAGGTACTGCTCTCAAGCCATTCTGTATCTTTGCATTTCATTTTTTCTGCCTAAGTGGAGTATCTCGCATTTGTCCCCATTGAACTTCATTTTGTTACCATACAGATGAGAGTCCTGCACATGGAGACTGTCCTACGTGTTTCCATGGAAATGCAGGTAGTCCAAAGTTTCAATTAACGTGATGGGTTATTATTGGGACTTAAAGTCATCCTAACGTTTTCAGGAATAGCTATTGAAATACACTGACCTGATGGCGTTCCTCTGCTGGCAATACACCTTCTGTCATACATTTAGAAAATGTTTCCACCTTTTGAAATAAAAGGATGTCTATTATTTCGGCTTTTAGATGTGACATCAACAAAATGTCTTTAATGAACCAAAAAAGGTTTCAAATGCAAGTATGTCATATTACTTTTGCTTTCATCTCTTCTGTCTGTTCCTTCAACATTTGCAAAAGCTTTCTTTCTTCTGTTACTTTTTGCAACAAAAATGGATTCATGGGTGACGGTTTTCTTGCATCAGCTAAGGGCGAGACCATTCCTCTAGACTGCAAGTCTATAAAGCAGAAATAAAAAGGGTGTATGTATTAATTCATTAACAGTGCAACAGAGTGTAGGAGATTGTGACAATCCTGTAAAATAATAGCAAATATTTATTTGAATTATCAATTTGAACTACCTGAAGGTGATTTGGAGAAATTAAGCATGGGCTTCACAGGAACAGTTACGGGTGGAATTGTTGACAGCTCAGAATTTATTCCAGTGCCTTGTCCTTTAATATTGAAGTTTGTTCTATGAGAATTTGAGCTTGGAAGTATCTGTTAAAATACAAAATAATTGGAAAGTGTAAAATCACCATCCACAGTGAATGTGTGTGTGTCTGTGTGTATTAAATGAGAATATGTTAAAAGTGCATTCAAAAAGACAGGATAACATCAGCAACAACAATAATGTCATCTACTACTAATAGGATAACAATGATCAATGGTATTTGTTTGTACGGATGCTATGTGCCATCAGCATACTGAGGGAACCACTCCTTAAATCTCTGAATAACTTATTAACTTAAACATAAATGAGACGATAGAAACATGAATGCTCGTTTGACCAAAGCATTCATCTCATGGGACCACAATGTCTCAGAACCAACTGGAATTGGTCCTATACGCAAAAAAACAATTACTACAACCCTATGCTCCCAATTCCCAGCCTTGTGGTCCCATTTAGAATATACCACAGGTGATGTTTCTGAAATCTGATGGGATGTGTAAGGTTACATTTCTCCTGCTCCTCTCATAGAATGCCTTACCAGTCATGATGTCTACAGCAGGATTTGGACCAAAGCCTTTCTTGAAATAGGTTTAGGGAATAATTTCAATCCAAGAACATATCAATGGATGACATCCTAGAGATGTAGAGATAAACTGTTTCTTCACCATCATCCTACCAACACAGAGCAGATATAGGCCCCTTCTACACTGCCATATAAACAGATAATCCAGTTCAAAGCAGATAATGTGGATTATCTGCTTTAGTAATATGGATTATATAGCAGTGTAGAAGGGGTCATAATAATGTGCTTCTAAGCGTATTTGATTAGATCAGCATGGATTTTGTGCTAACAACATTCTAGCCAACTTCACTACTCCCAGGTCACTGTTAAAACAAGACAATTATGAGTAACTAGCCATCCCCTGCCACGCATTGCTGTGGCCCAATCTGGTGATCTAGAAAATAAAGTAATGAGAAAGTGTTGATTTCTAATCTATGTAATGTTTTGATGCATGTGAGTAAACAGTACTTATTGTGTTTCTTGTCAGTGTTGATCTAAAGAGTGTCTGGTTCGCCTACTCTGGAACAGACAACATGTTATTGTCCTTCTTTAGGGGCCCCTTTCAAATCTATGATATTGTATCTGTCATATACATGTGTGTGTGTGTGTGAATCATATCTACCTATCTATATCTATAGCTGGATGGCTCTATAGCTGGAGGGCTTTTACGTTTTCTTGCCTTGGGGAAGGGAGATGGACTGGATGGCCTTAAGGCAGGATTTCTCAACCTGCGGGTTGGGACCCCTGGGGGAGGGGGGTTAGGGTCAGGAGGTGTCAGAAGGGTCACCAAAGACAACCAAAACACATAGTATTTTCTGTTGGTCATGTGGGTTCTGTGTGGGAGGTTTGGCCCAATTCTATCAATGATGTGGTTCAAAATGCTCTTTGATTGTAAGTGAACTATAAATCCCAGCAACTACAACTCCCAAATGTCAAGGTCTATTTTCACCAAACTCCATCTGTGTTCACATTTGGGCATATGGAGTATTTGTGCCAGGTTTTGTCCAGATCCATCATTGTTTGAGTCCACAGTGCTCTCTGGATGTAGGTGAATGACAACTCCCAAACTAAAGGTCAATGCCCACCAAACCCTTCCAGAATTTTCTGTTGGTTGTGGGAGTCCTATGTGCCAAGTTTGGTTCAATTCCATCGTTGGTGGGGTTCAGGATGCTCTTTGACTGTAGGTGAACTGTAAATCCCAGCAACTACAACTCCAAAATGACAAAATCCATTTTAGTGATGGTCACTCCTTGGAGTAGTAGGTGTATTGTGTCCAAATTTGGTGGCAATTCGCCCAGTGGTTTTTGCGTTCTGTTAATCCCACAAACAAACATTACATTTTTATTTATATAGATTATGACAGCAGCCTGAGTCTTATTAGCATCTCACATAGCAACTTGGGCTTTGACAGGAGCAATGCCTCTGTCATCTAGTGATTTCATCAGCCTTCCAAGGAAGGTCCTTCATGGCTGCAGAAGGCAGAAGCCACACTACAGCTCATCAGGATGTCACCATGGCAGGGGAATGACAACAGGTTCCCTTTCCTTTACTATCTTCCTGCCCAAATCCAAGATAGATCTCAGGTTGGGCTGAGGTCTATCAATGAAAGCCCCATGGTTTCCACAGTTATGAGCTTCCCCTGACAAGGTACCTTTGTTGTGAACGCTTGAACTCCAAAGAACAACTACCCTGTTGTTCTCATAAGCAGATCTGTTCCCAGTGAGGCACTCAGTACACCAGAAGACACATCAATTTGTCTCTAGTAGCCAACACAATGAACACTGAAACTGGACACTCTGCTGGACAGGAATCATAGAGATGAAATACTCATAAACGATAACAATTTTCTTTCTACTAGGAACATTCCTGTTTACCCACATAGTTCAGTTCCCTCATATGCAATTAAATAATACATGGTTGTTTCATTAGTAGGGACTGACTCAACCTTAAACAGTAACACCTTGAGGCTTAAAGGCAAGTTGAGAACATATCTCAAGGTTGGAGGCAGGTCTGGAAGAAAAATTAGGAATATTAATAGTTAGACTAAATCTACCTACTGCAAATTGTATCCAACAACAATAAAAACCTGGGTCTAGTGTATCTGCTCTAAAAGAAGTGTGTGCATTATATATTTAATATGAATAATATGTTTAAAAACAAGAGTATGGAAGCTAGCATACTACCCTATGCAATTTATACTGTAGTTTCATGGAGAAAATAGTGTGGATTAAGAAAAGGGGCTTTTGAAAGAATGCATTAGAGACTTACCTTAGCATTAAACCTAAGGTGATCAATATGATTCTGAGCTTCAGCGTGTTTTGTCAGCATCTACGATTTCAGCAAATACAACAAAGATAATATAGTAGTACACATTTAAATCTGTTAAGCTATTTCCTATCAAAGTCATTATAATTCAAGCAGTTCAAAATAAAACTACATTTATACAGAGAGTTCAAGAATTGTGAAGGAAATAAAATATTAACTTGGCCAGGAGAAAACTTTTCCCGACGCAAGCAGAGTCTCCCTAACATTTAGCTGAAATTTAGCAAAATTATACCCTAAGTCTGTATCTAGAAACCTCTACCCACTGAGATCAGATGTTCAGCTTTTAAAAGCAGAAACAAAAGATTACATTGCAACTCAATTAAATATACCCAAGATCACTTCTTATCTACCTCTAAATGTTGGTCAAGTTCAGCTATTCTTATTTCCTCTTCTTCGTTCTTGGCTGCAACAGATTCCAAAGAATTCATTGCTTCTAGAATGTCTTTCACAACTGCTGATTTACCAAGCAAATTTGAGGAAGATTTAGTTCTTTTAATTATACGATTTGGCTTGTTGTTACTCTTCCCTTTGGGTATTTTAATCTTAGGAGCAATATTAGAAAAATCAGGTAGTTGGTAATGAACCTGATGTTGACTGTATTTTTTATTTTGAGAAGATTCATTTATTTCCATTAAGTATTTTTGGTCTTTATATTCATCTTTTGGGGTTGAGGTACCCAACTCTTCATTGATTGTGTCTTCTTTCTGGGTTACAAATTGTGAATTATTTTCTTTGAGGTCTTTTCTCTCATCAGTGGCATTAATGCTATCCTTTATTGTAAACTGCTCAACTTGGATGAAATCCCAACTTTTTTCAGCTGATTCACATGTTATTTTTTGTTCAATGTTATTTTCTTCTTCTTCCCTTGACAAAAATATCCTTGCATTTCCTGAACTCTTAATTTTATTTTGGATAGTTTCATCAAAACTTTCAGTAAATGATATTTCCGGTATTGTTTCTAAATCAATTAAATTGCACGAACTTGCTAATTCCTCTTTGGGAAAATGACGCAAAAGGACTTTTGAGATTTTAGAGTTGGAGATATGTTGATTTCTTCCTGAACCAATAGCATCCCAAGTTAGTAATTCTTTTCCTGCTGTCATAGTAAATTCCATGTCATTTTCCCTTGAAAGAGACACAAGATTTATTTTCTTCCGAGGCAGCTGCACTTTGATATCTGATTTCTCTTGTGAACAATAGCTCATTTGGGAAGATGTCAAAGTCAAAGCGCTTTGAGAGGCATTTTCCATAGAAGGAAACTCTTCGAAGTTTTGGGAAACATAATTGTATTGATAGCTATTTTGTAGATCCCCATCATAAGGCAAATCTTCTTGCTCATCATCAGTATTGCCTTCAGGGTAAAGCATATCAAATAATGTATTATTCATCTAGTTTTCATACAGTCAGACTGTCCTTATCTATAATACCTACTCATCATATTTTGATCATATTCCACATTATGTCCGCTGAATGTTAGTATTCAAATTCTGTAAGAATTGAAAAACACAAACACTTTAACAATGGATAAGAGCAGAATTGATCTAAATCTTTTCAATTAAACCCACAAACTGTAAAGTGATATACTCCTTAAAATATACGCAAGGGCAATAATGGCTAAATTCTATCTCGAGGCAACAGAAATTATGGTTACTAAAAGGTGCAATTTAACAAACAATTTAAATGAAGATATAAAAAAATTAGGCCCCCCTCGTGGCGCAGCGGGTTAAACCGCTGAGCTGCTAAACTTGCGGACCGAAAGAGTGGTGGTTCGAATCTGGGGAGTGGGGTGAGATCCCACTGTTAGCTCAGTTCCTGCCAACCTAGCAGTTCAAAAACATGCAAATGTGAGTAAATAAATAGGTACCGCTTCTGCAGGAAGGTAACAGTGCTCCATGCAGTCATGCTGGCCACATGACCTACAAGGTGTCTACAGACAACACCGGCTCTTCAGCTTAGAAATTGAGATGAGCACCACCCCCCAGAGTTGGACACGACTAAACTTAACGTCAAGGGGAAACCTTTACCTTTACTATCCAAAAATATCCTTCGCTTTACACAACATGGTTTATATCTGTTATATTAAATTATTATCCATATGTTTAAAATCATTATTTTATTCTCTTGGGTTCTAGGTAATGAAGACTTGGAAAACTTGACCATATGCCCTAAGATTTGGGTTCGATTGAATCTAAGTTACTTAGGTCCAAGTAAATGTGATTGGAATTGTGCTGCAATGCTATATATGCTCATGCAGAGGAACTATCTCTAAACTCAATGGGATTTACTTCTGAATAGGTTTGCATATCATAACACTGATACTTTTTTTATAAATGTGGAAGCACACATTTCCAACTTCCTTAGATCCGCGAAGCTTTAATTTTCCTCGGTAATACGAACAAACTTACATGACAACATTGTTAAAGTCTGAGCTGGTTTTGGATCTAGGTTACACCTTGCTACACACCCTCTGGCAACTGAGATATCAACAACAGGTAAACAAACGTTAAGTACTACTCCCAAGATTTTTATTTCAAGACATGCTCCTTTCTTTCAGAACTCACATTCTGCTCACAAAATTGGTTTTTCATTAGACACACAAATAGTACAAACAGTACTTTAACAGAAAACAGAAATACAGTAGTTACAATGACAAAATTCCCTTATACTTACACACTACAGGCAAGTATTTGGCTGATTTCTTAGGCAACTGGTATAGTTATAGCAAATATGCTAAACATTCTTACCCAGCTTTCTTTCGTCTACTACCAAACTGTTTAAGCATGACATAGGGGCTCTCTTTTTCAGTGAATATATTGTGTTACATCAACTGTAACCTTATCATGAACAGAGCCTGAAACCTGGAAGAGCACAGTAACTTTATAACTGCAACACACACCTTGCTCTTTATTATTCTAGTTTTACACTGCTATTGTTCAGTGGGATCACAAAGGCAATATAGAGTCAGAAAACAACACTCTTACTGGAACGTTGAACTGAACCCAATATCATTTAACAGCTTAGTTTGCTATCACCCAGACCTTTGAAAATATTTAGAATTGGATCTTGGATTTCTTGATACGTTCAATGTTATAAACATATTTATTCCATCCATCTCCCAGGGAATTTTAATTATTTATATAGGAAGGTCCATGTAAATTAAATATTTACTAATATCATGGTCACCATGTGGAATCGCTTCCAAACTGAGAACAAGCATTTGAATCTTGAAAGCCTTATGAATTATCAAGATGGGTAACTTTCTGGGATATTACGCAGAGTTAAATGAAAACTGCAGTGGAATTATTATTATTATTACTATTATTATTATTATTAACTTTATTTGTACCCCGCTAGCATCTCCCGAAGGACTCGATGCGGCTTACACAGGCCAAGGCCTCAATAAAACAACAGCATAACAAAAACACATAACTTACAGCAAATCAAACAATAAAACAATAGCAGTAAACAATAAAAACAATACACCATAACACAATAAAACTAGGGCCGGGCCGAATGTAATGGGCACAGATTAAAAAAGTGCTGGGTGTGACAGGTGGATGTAGGATTTTAGGGTAAGTGCAATGTGCAAACCATCTTAAAACTCTGATAAAGTCCTTCTGGGACATATTGCTGGATTTCCTATTCTGGAAAGACACATCGGAACAGCCAGGTCTTCAAACTCTTCCTAAAGACTGCCAACGTAGGGCCTTGTCTGATGTCTTTGGGGAGGGTGTTCCAAAGTCGGGGGGAATGAGATCATTCTGTATTTCTGCTAGGATCTAAAACAGGGGTCCTCAAACTAAGTCTCGGGGGCCGGATATGGCTCTCCAAGGTCATTTACTCGGCCCTCGCTCAGGGTCAGCCTAAGTCTGAAACCACTTGAAAGCACACAACAACACAATCCTATCTCATCAGCCAAAAGCAGGCCCATACTTCCCATTGAAATAATAATAAGTTTATGTTTGTTAAAATTGTTCTTCATTTTAATTATTGTATAGCTTTAAAATGTTGTTTTTTTGCACTACAAATAAGATATGTGCAATGTGCATAGGAATTCATTCATGTTTTTTTCCCCCAAATTATAATCTAGCTCTCCAACAGTTTGAGGGACTGTGACTTGGCCCTCTGTTTAAAAAGTTTGAGGACCCCTGATCTAAAAATTCCCTACCCCCTACCCCACCGATTATATTCTAGGAAGTCAGAGCCAGTGTGGCGCAATTGTTTGAATGTTGGACCATGACTCTAGATACCTGGTTTCAAATCCTTGCTCAGCCATGAAACCCACTGGGTGACTTTGGACAAATCACACTCTTTCTGATCCAGAGGAAGGCAATGGCAAATCTTTTCTGACATCACAAGCCATCATTCAGAAATGACTCAAAGGCACATCACAACACAATAAATATTCTAGGCAATTACAATGTTTCAGTAAAGAGACATTAAGCAAGGTCAGCATCTATCAGCACTAAGAATTATTTTAAGTTCAGTGACATAAGGTAATGCTGAAGCAAGAAACACATATTAAAAATCTCCCCTCCAGCACCTGGGGAGGTTCAAGCAGAGGCATGCTTTGCAACATCCTGGGCAAGATTATCATACCACAGCTGGAACATTTTATTCCACTTGAATGAAAAATTAGATGTGTGTGTGTATGTTTACCAACGTCTACTTGGTAAAAGTCTGTACTGACATTAGAAGAGATCAAGACACCAGGAGAACATCTAAACTGACCACTTCAGTCAGTTTCAAACCAGTATGGAAGAAAATGTATTTGCTGTGCAGATTTTCTTTTGTCATGTCAGGAGCGACTTGAGAAACTGCAAGTCGCTTCTGGTGTGAGAGAATTGGCCGTCTGCAAGGACGTTGCCCAGGGGACGCTCGGATGATTTGATGTTTTTATCATTCTTATGGGAGGCTTCTCTCATGTCCCCGCATGAGGAGCTGGAGTTGATAGAGGGAGCTCATCCGCCTCTCCCCGGATTTGAACCTGCGACCTTCAGTCCTGCCGGCACAGGGGTTTAACCCACTGCGCCATCGGGGGCTGTGCAGATGATTGTATAGAAAACTCTGGAACCAGTTTAAGGTCAGGATGGTGATTACACGAACTGATGTGCACTAAGGTTTTCTTTCACATGCTTTTGTGGAAGTTTGCTCCCTGTTCACAGTAGCTTGAAGCTACAGTAGTTTCGAATTGCATTAAATTAAATAAAGTGTAGTGAGGTTCTAGTGGGTCTAGATGACTATGGGGTGTGAAGGACTAATTCTGTATCACATGGGATATGGAAGATTGAGCCTGTAAATCCTTCTGTGCCATTCATAAACTGGACACTATTTCTTTTGCTGTACTGAAGAAAAGGATTACAAATGAGATAACTTTAAACCCCAAACTGGGGAGCACTTATGTATTTGATGAGGTGGGCTAAACCGCACATTAATCCATTCTATAATAAATGTTTTTGCCTTTAAATTTCTATAGAACTTTACAAGGTTTCGGAAAAAATGGGATGGAAATAAATGTAATTCAATCAAGCATTTTTTCCCTGAAACAAGCTAACATAGTTGCATCTTTGGAAACCATATTAGACTGATTATCCTAAAGCAGTTAAGAAGCATTATTACAGTGTAAGATTGTACAACTACAAAATGGTGTAAGACTTCAGTGCAGAGTAGGACTCCCATGATTCCATAGCATTGCGTCATGGCAATTAACGTGGTGTCAAACTGCATTAATTTTACAGTGTTGATGCATCCTGAATGAAAGCAGATACGGAGGTTTATCTTGTTCCCTTGGTAAAAAAAAAGAAGAAGAAGAAGTGCTGTCCCACATTGCTGATGGGAAAAAGTAGTGTTTGGTTTCAAGCATCTGGTAATCCTGCAGAACATTTAATAAACTCTACAGTAATAAGTGGTTCTCTCATCCAACCCACCAAAACAAACCTTGATGTTGACTAGTGTTGCCTGTAGTCAGCATTACAGTTTCTTTTGATGGGTTCCATCAGATCAACAGGCGTTGTGAGAAGCACATTCCATGAGCTGAATGAAAATTACAAGGGTGTTCCCATCTCAATGTGTCTTGCCACAAGTAAATATTTTGACCTCCTGCCAAGAGTTTCAAGTCAACAGCTGTAATTATCCTAAACTGTCCTCTGGCCCTAGCAGGTTAATAAATATTCCTCCAACTAATGAATTTTTTGCCCCCCAGGCCACACCTTGTGTTGGAGGTATAAGAAGGGAGAAAGGAAACCATATACATGTGCCATGAACAAAACACACATTCTTCAATGCATAATAAGTAAAGAAGTACTCCAGGAATACCTGGCTCCTCTAAATTAATTCAAGTCTTCAGGGCCATATGAACTACATCCAAGAGCATTGAAGGAACTAGAAGAAGAATTTTCAGAACCACTGGAAATAATCTTTGAGAATTCTTGGAGAACAGGAACAGTCTCAGAAGACTGGAGGAGGGCAAATGTTGTCCCTATCTTCAAGAAGTAGAAAAAGGGGACCCAAACAAGGAAAGAAGGAAAGAAAAAAGGGAAGAAAGGAGAGAAAGGGGGAGGGAAGGTTGGCCACAGCAACATATAGTGGGTACCGCTAGTGTGAAAAAAACTGTGGGCCCTCCCACACAACCCTATAATCCAGAATATCAAGGTAGATAAGACACAATATCTATTTTGAACTGGATTATCCATGTCCACACTGCAACACAATCCAGTTCAATGTGGATTTTATACAGTTGACTATAGGGATGATTGGAAATAGGAGCTCAAAATACAAAAATATTTTCAAAAAAAAAAAGGAACCAGAGTTGTTCTTCCTTGGAATGCTTGACTTTGAAGGAGAGAAAAACAAGGATATTATCTTTAATTACTTAACCACCGCAGCTCGAATTGTATATGCAAAGAATTGGAGACACAAAGAAATTCCTCAAAGAGAAGATTGGCATAATAAAATATTGGAAATAATGAACATGGGTGAGCTAACTTATTGGTTGTCGCTAAATGAAGGAATTCCAAAGAAACAAACTGGGATTTGGTAAAAAGTTACTTTAAACAACGAAAAAAAGAGGTCCCGATCTATCTGAGACCTACTTGCTTTCCGGAAAGCCTGTAAAACCTTTCTCTTCCGACAAGCTTTCGATGGGTGAATAACTCGGGACTATGTCTTCCTTGTTTTATTGTATTTTAAAGTTAATTGTATTGTTTTAATCTACTGCTGTAAACCGCTCCGAGCCAAATTGGGAGTAGCGGTATACAAGTCAAATAAATAAATAAATAAATTTCTTGAAGGACGACACAGAAGCTAAAGAATGAACCAAAATAGGGAAGCAACTTTGAACAGTAATGATGGAAAAAAATTACCAAAGATCTTCAAAGAACAGATGGAAGTCCAATCGAGTTTTTGTCTTGTTTTTCTCTCTCTCTTTTTTCTTCCTATTTTTCTTCTTTTTATCCCCTCCCTTTTGTTTAATTGGAGGGGTCCTATGCACAGTGTAGGGACAAGTTCTCATTTTTWAAATATTTTTTTATATTTTTAAACTCTTTRACACCCCCCCCCCCTCTTTTTCTTCTTCTTCTTTCCTCTGTTCTACTCCATGTCCTACTTTTCTATCTCCTCCACAATATTCCCCACTTTCCATGTAACTATATCATCTTTCAATAAAAATTATTTTTTTAAAAAAGGAAATAGGAGCTGGGGCTTTATATGAAATGTATGTTTTCAGTGTCTCCTGAAGCGTTCTCCCTCAAGAGGGCACAGCCACTCAGATAACTCACAATATCTGCTTTGAACAGGGTTATCTGAGTCCACACTGCCATATAATCCAGTTCAACGTGGATTTTGTACAGAATTTTGTACATTCATAGGCAACTAGCTGCCCCCCTGCCACGCGTTGCTGTGGCCCAGTCTGGCAATCTGGAAAATAAAGTAATGAGACAGTGTTGGTTTCTAATATATATAATTTCTTTATGCTTGTGGGTAAACAGCAGTTCTTGCTGTTTCTTTGTCAGTGTTGATGTGGAGATTGTCTGGTTTGACCACCCTGGAACATGTAATTGTCCTTCTTTAGGAGTCCCTTTCAAATCTAGGATACTATATCTGTGTGTGTGTAAATCATATATATCTATCTATATCTATGGCTGAATGGCTCTTTGTCAGGAGGGTTTTGATTACGGTTTATTGCCCTGATGAAGGGAGTTGGACTGGAGGGCCTTAAGTATTTTCTGTTGGTCATGGGGGTTCTGTGTGGGAAATTTGGCCCAATTCTGTCGTTTGTGGGATTCAGAATGCTCTTTGATTGTAGGTGAACTACAAATCCTAGTAACTACAACTCACAAATGTCAAGGTCTATTTCCCCCCAAGCTCCATCTGTGCTCATATTTGGGCAAATTGAATATTCGTGCCAAGTTTGGTTCAGATCCATCATGGTTTGAGTTCATGGTAGTCTCTGGATGTAGGTGAACTACAACTCCCAAATTCAAGGTCAATGCTCACCAAACCCTTCTAGTGTTTTCTGTTGGTCATGGAAGTCCTGTATGCCCCATTTGGTTCAATTCTATCATGCTATTGTAGGTGAACTATAAATCCCAGTAATTACAACTCCCTATCTATCTCTCTGGATGTTGGTGAACTACAACTCCAAAACTCAAGGTCAATGCCCACCAAACTCTTCTAGTGTTGGTCATGGGAGTCCTTTGTGCCAAGTTTGGTTCAATTCCATTGTTGGTGGAGTTCAGAATGCTCTTTGATTGTAGGTGAACTATACATCCCAGCAACTACAACTCCCAAATGACAAAATCATAATTTTTTGAGTGATGGTCACTCCTTGTGTAGTGAGACGTTTTGTTGCCAAATATGGTGTGATTTCGTTCATTGGTTCTTTTGTTTTTAAGGTACTCATTATGCACAGAGCATTTTTATATATATAGATGATATAGATGGATGTATGTTTTCAGTGTCTCCTGAAGCGTTCTCCCTCAAGAGGGAACAGCCACTCAGATAACTCACAATATCGGCTTTGAACAGGGTTATCTGAGTCCACACTGCCATATAATCCAGTTCAACGTGGATTTTGTACAGCTCTGTGGGAGGGGTCATAGCCAATGGTATCCCAAGGTACAGGACTGGGTGACTTCAGTCAAGCCAACTTTAGAAGGCCATGACAAACCTGTTTTAGCAATCCCTGTGGAGAAAACGTTGGGGGTTGTTAAATGCCTTCCAAACTTTTCTGTCACAGGGCTTTCTGAGTCTGCCTCACCCAGTGGGTTTCCATAGGAGAATGGGGCCTCCAGAGCCGTACTCCACGGCTCGAACCACTATAACTGGGCCGCCAGACGACAGGACCATCTGGTCCAAAACCTTCCACAAAATACCTCAGCGCCCTCGCGCTTCCCCGTCCAATCCGGATCCGAGTAAAGCCGCACGTGACTCCCCCTCCAACCCTGAGGGAATTCAAGAACGAGGAGAAAGGCCTCCTTGCGTTCCTATTGGCCAATGCGAAAGATGCGCGCGAGCGGGGGCGTGGTTCAGCAAGAACGGCCCTCCTTAGCGTACAAAACGTCTCGTAGACTAGGGAGGAAAAAAAAAGAAGCCAAACCTGCAGGACGCATGCGCAGTTCGGGAGGAAGGCGGTTGGCTCGGACCAACCCTTTTGGTCGCGCGAGGTACAATGAGGGGAGGGGGGGGGAAAGAGTTCGATGCTGTAATGCGATTGGTTGAGGCGGCTTCGGGGTGCACGAGCCTTCCTTTTTTTTAACCCTTGGGGGAGGGGGTTGTGGCTTAGCGTGAGTTATGATTGGCAGCCCCGCGAGGCGGAAGCAGGGCTGTGAGGCGGCTGTCCAGGGTGGCTGAGGAGAGCGACACGGGCCGAGGCGGCGGCGGCGGAGGAGCAAGGTCTGTTAATGGGCGCCGTGAGGGAAACAAGCGTCGGGACCCGAAGACTCCACCGCGAGGGTGCGAGGGACAGGAGGGGGGAGGGCACCTGGTGTTTCGGTGCTGGTTAGAAGAAGAAGAGGTCTTTGAAAAAGGGGAGCCATTTTGAGGAAAGCCAGACGGGGTTCACAGGCTGGAAAAGGGAGCATTGAATGGCGAGGGCGGGAGTGTGGCTGGGCTAGTATTCATACCTATATTCTGCAAAAGGCGGCTGGGGTTATTATCTACAGGTAAAGCATCCCAAGCCTGAACCACTGGGGAACAAAAGTGTTTTGGCTTTCGGATTCTGTAATATCTGCAGCCACATAATGATGTTCCTTGGAGTCCTGTACCTTGGGATATTGTGCCACCTGTATGCAGATGACACCGAGCTGTACTACTCCTTCCCACCTAAAGCCAAGGAAGCTGTCCCGACTCTATTTATTTATTTATCGTGTCAGGAGCAGACCAAACAGTTGCGTTGCATTTTTTAACAAACAAACAAACAAAACACAAAGTTTGCAAGCTTGGTAGTTGATTAAATGTCCTTTGACCAGTAGCTGGCCACTTGGAGTGCCTCTGGTGTTGCTGCAAGAAGGTCCTCCACTGTGCATGTGGCAGGGCTCAGGTTGCATTGCAGCAGGTGGTCTGTAGTTTGCTCTTCTCCACACTCGCATGTCGTGGATTCCACTTTGTAGCCCCATTTCTTAAGGTTGGCTCTGCATCTCATGGTGCCAGAGCAGTCTGTTCAGCGCCTTCCAAGTCGCCCAGTTTCTGTGTGCCCAGGAGGGAGTCTCTCATTTGGTATCAGCCATTGATTGAGGTTCTGGGTTTGAGCCTGCCACTTTTGGACTCTCACTTGCTGAGGTGTTCCAGTGAGTGTCTCTGTAGATCTTAGAAAACTATTTCTTGATTTAAGTCATTGACATGCAGGCTGATACCCAAACAAGGGATGAGCTGGAGATGTCACTGTCTTGGTCCTTTCACTATGGGCTGCTACTTCCCAGCGGATGCCAGGTGGTGCAATACCAGCTAGACCAGGGGTCCTCAAACTACGGCCCAGGGGCCGGATACTGCCCCCCTAAGTCATTTACCCGGCCCTCGCTCAGGGTCATCCTGTCTGAAATGACTTGGAAAGCACACACCAACAACAACAATCCTATCTCAGCAGCCAAAAGCAGGCCCACACTTCCCATTGAAATACTAATAAGTTTATATTTGTTAAAGTTGTTCTTCATTTTATTATTTATATTGTTTTTAAGTGTTTTTTGCACTACAAATAAGATATGTGCAGTGTGCATAGGAATTCATTCATGTTTTTTTCAACTTATAATCCGGTCCTCCAACAGTTTGAGGGACTGTGACCTGGCCCTCTGCTTAAAAAGTTTGAGGACCCCTGGGCTAGACAGTGTAATTTCTCCAGTGGTGTAGGACGCAGATACCCCATGATAATGCGGCATGTCTCATTAAGAGCCACACCTACTGTTTTAGTGTGATGAGATGTGTTCCACACTGGGCATGCATACTCAGCAGCAGAGTAGCATAGCGCAAGGGCAGATGTCTTCACTGTGTCTGGTTGTGATCCCCAGGTTGTGCCAGTCAGCTTTCGTATGATATTGTTTCTAACGCCCACTTTTTGCTTGATATTCAGGCAGTGCTTCTTGTAGGTCAGAGCACGGTCCAGAGTGACTCCCAGGTATTTGGGTGCGCTGCAATGCTCCAGTGGGATTCATTCCCAGGTAATCCTCAGAGTTCTGGATGCTTGTCTGTTCTTAAGATGAAAAGCACATGTCTGTGTTTTAGATGGATTAGGGATCAGCTGGTTTTCCCTGTAATAGGCAATCTAAATCAACATTGAAGGCATGTCAACTGCCGAAGAACAACTGCTCTATGAACTGTGCCAAGATAAGAAACGCGATGTGCTCTGTGTTCAAGAAACACACAGGAATGAACGACAGAAACGACCAAAAGTTCCAGGAATGGTCTTAGTAGCAGAAAGACCATATACACAGTATGGAAGTGCTGTCTTTGTCCTGACTCTGAACCAGTGTTTGTCATCATAATGGACTGGATGAGGGCAAACAAATAGTACTTCCATCCAAGTATTTACTTACTTAGGCAATCCCTCATTGTCCGAGTAGGATAGTCTTCCAAGATCGGTGTACTGGCGTTGGGTCCGTAGGTGACTGTGGAGCCCTATTCTTGACCTGCATCTTCTCCCATAGTGAGGGCATTGGTTTCCAGGTGGAAGGCGGTCCCGGTCGGCTTGGCGAGCCTTGGCACGTTTCTCTCTTTCACCCTCCATTCATGCCTCTTCAAATTCTACAGCACTACTGGTCACAGCTGACCTCCATCTGGAGTGCTCAAGTGCCAGAGCTTCCCAGTTCTCAGTGTCTATGCCAGAGTTTTTAAGGTTGGCTTTGAGCCCATCTTCAAATCTCTTTTCCTGCCCACCAACATTTAACCAACTAGAGCTGACCCTACTAAGAGTGCATTTATTTATTTATTTATATTTATTTGCGGTATTTGTATGCCACCCATCTCAAACCCGAAGGGGACTCAGGGAAGTTCACAGTGTTCGCAACAATTCAATGCCATTGATAAAACACAGTATAAAACATCAAAATTGACCTTTAAGGCAGAGGTTCTCAACCTGCGGGTTCCCAGATGTTTTGGCCTTCACCTCCCAGAAATCCTAACAGTTGGTAAACCTGGGATTTCTGGGAGTTGTAGGCCAGAACACCTGGGGACGAACAGGTTGAGAACCACTGCTTAAGGGTATTTGGGAGTCATTCCTAAACACAGGGAACCTTGTTTGGGGAACCTAGCCAACGGGGAAACCCTGACACATGTACATGGCTGCTAAAGAATATGTTGATTTCATTCCCAGTTAAGATGTGTGCCAGCAGAGACAGGAGCATAATGATAGCATAGATGTAATGAGACCATGTCAGATGCACATAACTGAAAGAACGTCATGAGGGTTTTTTAACCTGCAACCCACCCAGCAAGAGACTCAGAAGTCAATGTTGCCATGACATTGAAGTAGGAATAGGAATTAAGTGGGCCTTCCGTTCTGGGGAGCCCAGCTGGAGAAGGATATTGACAAACTGGAATATGTTCAGAGGATGGCCAGCAAAATGATGATGGTGATGATGATAATAATAATAATAATAATAATAATTGAAACTTAATCCAGACAAGACAGAGGTACTTCTGGTCAGTCGGAAGGCAGACCAAGGAATAGTGATCCAGCCTGTGCTGGATGGGGCCACACTCCCCCTGAAGTCACAGGCCTGCAGTTTGGGGGTCCTCCTGAACTCAGTACTGAACCTGGAGGCCCAGGTGGCTGGGAGGGTCTTTGTACAATTAAACTTGTGCGCCAACTACGCCAGTTCCTTGAGAAGCCAGATCTGGCAACAGTGATATATGCCTTAGTTACATCCCCTCTGGATTACTGTATCACACTCTATATGGGGCTGCCTCTAAAGAGCGCTTGAAAACTTCAGCTGGTCCACAGAGCTGCAGCCAGGTTTCTCACTGGGGCTGGCTACAGGGAGTTGACAAATCCTGTTGCAGCAGCTCCACTGGCTGACAGTCTCTTTCTGGTCACAATTTAAAGCGCTGGTTATGATCTTTAAAGCCCTAGATGGTTCAGTTCCAGGCTATTTGGCCAAATACATCCCCTTGTATGAACATGTTTGGGCCCTGAGATCTTGAGGAGAGGCCCTTCTCTTGGTCCCACATCCATGTCAAGCTCGTGGCCTTTTCGGTGGCTGCCCCATGATTCTGGAACTCCCTGCCAAGGGAAATCAGAATGGCCGCCTCCCTGCCATCCTTCCAGTGGCAGGTTAAAATCTTTTTATTCAGGCAGGCTTTTAAAGAAGGTTTTTAAGATCATCAGGGTATACTGTAATTTTGTATGCTTTTAATGATTTTTAATACCAGTTTAATACTTGTATATTTGTATATTTCAAGTATTGCAATGATTTTAGTTGTAAGCCACTTTGAGTCTATATGGAGAGAAAAAGTGGGATATCATAATAATTATAGAATAATAATATTGTATTGTCGAAGGCTATGAGGGAGGACCCTTCAGGTGACACTGAAAACATACATTTCATCTTCCCAGCTCCTATTTCCAATCGTCCCTCAGTTTAGTTTCAGTCCTTCCACATTTGTGATTCTGACTTTTGGGGTTTGATAACACTAAGTAACATGATTTTTGTTCCTGGGTCATAAATGCCATTTTCTAATTGGTTCTATCATAAAAATATGGGGAAAAGTTTATTAAACTGCAAAATTGGATGTGGGATCCAACCCTAAACACAACATTAATGTATGTATTATACACACATTATATACACAGCTTGAAAGTAATGTTATACAGAACACATTTAATGATTTTGTGCACAAATATTGAATTATTGGAAAGCAAAAAAATCACGATCTCAGCCACCCATCTGGATGCTTTTGTATTTTTGTACTATTTCAGATTTTGAGTTTTCAGCTAAAAGGTGCTCAACCTGCATAGCTGAAAACCAATAAAGTCCTCCCCCTCTACAAGTATCAATGAAAACTTAAAGGACCCTTCAATTGTATGCCACTTTACAGTGCATTGAATCTTTTGGTTTTCATACATCTAACACTCAAGTAGCCCTTAACCCTTCCTCAGACTTCTTGGGGTTTGCCAATGCCCCTTGGTTATGTTTTGGACTGGCGTACTTGTACAGTATTGTATTTTTTCTGGTTCAGTGTTTAAAATATCCTAGAATGGGTGTGTTTTTGTGTGTGTGAAATTCAAAAACAATCTTATGCCCTCTTTAGATGCAGTATTTGTCACATTATTTTGCTATGGGAACACAGAGTTAGACAGTTGCCAGACCTTGAGGTTTTGCAGTGCCCAATAATTCAGCAGATATTGGCTGGGCTCAGTGAATCTTATCTTTTATCCTTCCCAAAGCAGCCCCTTGACTCTCATT